CCAGCTTCGAGCCAACTTCGGCCATCTTGGTGGGCTCCTGGCCCGTCTGACGCCGTCGGAAGCCGTTTAGGGGGCCTCTCTGGGCCAACTTGGGGCCCTCTTGGGGTGCTCCAGGACCGTCTTAGAGGCCATCTTGGGCGTCTTCGAGGCCTCTTTTTGGCCGTCTTGGGGCCCTCTTGGGGCCGTCTTGGGGGGCTCTTGGGCCCTCTTGGAGGCCTCTTGGGCGATCTTGGGGCGACCTTGGGGGCCTCTTGGGCCGTCTTGGGCCGTCGTAAAGCCGAAAAGGCGCAAATACCAAAATCCTTCAAAAACCTTTAGAAAAACAATGATTTTGGCCTTCGGGCCTTCCTTCCTGGAGGACCTCTTGGAGGCCTCTTGGGAGCCTCTTGGGCCGTTTTGGGCCATCTTGAGGCCATCTTAGGCCGTCTTGGGTGCATCTTGGGCCGTCTTGGAGGCATCTTGGGGCCATCTTAGCCGTCTTGGAGGCCATCTTGGCCGTCTTGGAGGCCATCTTGGGCCATCTTGGAGCTGTCTTGAACGGAAAAACTCTTTGCAACTACCTCTGGGCAATCTTTGGGCATCCTTTCAGGTGGCCGGCGGGACGGTCCGAAGCCCGTCCTGCCGGAGGACCAATGATTTTGGCCTCTTCGGGCCCTCCTGGAGGACCTCTTGGAGGCCTCTTGGGCCGTCTTGGAGGCCTCTGGGGGGCATCTTGCCGTCTTGGACTCTCTTGGGCCGTCTTGGAGGCCGTCTTGGACCATCTTGGGCGAACTTGGAGGCCATCTTGGAGGCCATCTTGGGCCAACGTGGCCATCTTGGCGCCATCCTGAGCCATCTTGGAGGATTTTTTTCCGGATTGAGCACCTTCCCAGGACCCCGGCGGGACGCGCCGGAGGCCCAGGGAGAGTTCTTTGGGAAAAAGAGCCAGAACCAAAACCGATAGGGTCTAGCTCGCCGGGCACCCCTGTGGCAAGCCAACAGGGGGTGGCGGATCGAAGACGCCTACGGCGAATCACCGCCGCCCCCTGCCTTTTTGGAAGCGCCTATGTGGCCGAACGTTGAGGCCAGACCTGCCAAGCTATCGGACCACGTGTTCCCCGAATCGGTTTGGAAAGCCTTCGGGGAACACGTGGGCATCTTGAAGGTCATCTTGGCCGTCTTGGAGGCCTCTTGGGCAAGCTTTGGGCGATCTTTGGGGCTTTTTGGGCCGTCTCGGGCCAGCTTCGAGCCAACTTCGGCCATCTTGGTGGGTTCCTGGCACGTCTGAAGCCGTCGGAAGCCGTTTGGGGGGCCTCTATGGGCCGACTTGGGGCCCGCTTGGAATGCTCCAGGGCCGTCTTGGAGGCCATCTTGGGCGTCTGGGAGGCCATCTTGGGCGTGTTGGAGGCCTCTTGGGCCCTCTTGGGGCCCTCTAGGGGCCATCTTGGAGGCCACTTGGGCCATCATGGGGCTCTCTTGGGGGCCTCTTGGGCGATCTTGGGGGCTTCTTGGGCCGTCTTGAGCCGTCGGAGAGCCGAAAAGGCGCAAATGCCAAAATCCTTCAAAAACCAAAGGAAAATCAATGATTTTAGCCTCTTCGGACTCTCCTGGAGGACCTCTTGGAGGCCTCTTGGGCCGTCTGGGAGGCCTCTGGGGGGCCTCTTGGGCCGTCTTGGGCCGTCTTGGACTCTCTTGGGCCGTTTTGGAGGCCGTCTTGGACCATCTCGGGCGGACTTGGAGGCCATCTTGGGGCATCTTCGCGATTTTTTGAGGATGTCCCGAGCGAAACGGCAGTTTTTGGGCATTGACAGACGGATTTTGGGAAATTCGCGGGTGGCCGGCGGGACGGGCCGAAGCCCACTGGGGAGTTCTTTTCTAGAAAAAGAACCAAAACCAAAACCTGAATCGTCCAGCACGCCGTGCACCCCTGCAAGCAGGGGGCGGCGGATCCCAGTCGCCTTCGGCCCATCCCGCCACCGTGCCTGCGTTGTGGGTCTGAGGTCTCTTGTATATGTGTTGGGGTGCTGTGAGGAGCCTCTCGGGGGCCTCTTGGAGGCGGTTTCGGCGCCTCTTGGGGGCCTCTTGGGGTCTCGTGGGGTATTTTGGGGGTCTCTTTGACACCTCCTGGGCGAGTCTTGGGCGCCTCTTGGGGCCTCTTAGGGGCTTCGCGGGGCACAAATATCGAATCGAATGTTCGGTTCGTGATCCCCTGCTTGGGCAACTCTTCGGGGTGTCCTGGGGTCCTCTTGGGCCGTCTTCAGCGCTTCTTGGGCCATCTTGGAGCCCTCTTGGGCCGTCTTGGGGCCCTCGTGGAGGCGTCTTGGACTGTCTTGGCGCGGTCTCGGGAGCTTCTTGAGCCGTCTTGGAGCGTCGGAGAGCCCAAGAGTAGGCTAACATCTGTCAAAAACCGTCGTCGTAAATCTACGAGCTGGGCCTCTTGGAGCTCTCTCGGGAGGCCTCTTGGAGCGCTCTGGGGGCCTCTTTGGGCCCTCTTGGGCCGTCTTGGAAGCATCTTCGGGCGCCTTGGAGCACTCGTGGCCTCGGCAATGCGAATACGGCGTCATTTGCGAAGGTTTACCGCTTCAGGGACGCGAATATCGCGTAACTAAAGCTGGTTGTGTGCCTCGGGGACGCAAGACACGTGTACACTATACAACGGTTTATGGCCTCGGGGGCGCGAATATTGCATAATTTGCAAAAGATGATGGCCTTTGCGGAATTCAGAGAACGCGATCAGGGCGTGGTAACTGGCTGGTTTGGGGTGCTCCGCCTTCGCGCGGACTTCGACAATTTACAGTAGGAAGCAAAACACAGGACTGTAACATTGAAGACTTGAACTGCAACTGGCGCAGGGAGCAGCACACTTCGGCCTACAGCCTGGTGGCCTCACAAGGGTGCCGGCGGATTTTTGCACAGCCAAGGCCCGTATCGGACATGGGCTGCCGCAGAACGCTGGATCCAGACCACACCGTTAGTTAAGCGGCCACCTCACTTGCGCCTGGCCTTGGTGCTCCTCCGCTTCTTCCTCTTCCCCCTCCTCGTCTTCGCCTGCGAGGGGCGGGCCTGCCTCTCTTTTCCCTCGGGTGGGAGGGGGGAGAAGTTGATGAGGAGCAGGAGGAGGAGGAGGAGGAGAAGGAGGAGGAGGAGGAGGAGGAGGAGGATAACGAGGGAGGAGGAGGAGGAGGAGGAGGAGAACGAAGGAGGAGGAGGAGGAGGAGGAGGAGGAGGAGAAGGAGGGGGAGGAGGAGGAGGGGGAGGAGGGGGAGGAGCGGAGGAGGAGGAGGATAACAACGAGGGAGGACGAGGGCGGACGAGGAGATGGCGGAGGATGCCGGGGAGGAAGAGCGAGGAGACGGAGGCAGGAGTCCTCCAATACCCACTCGGCCACATATGAGAGGAACGTGTGGATTGAAGAAGTGATTGCCTGGGCCTCGACTGTGCATCGGGTTTCCCTGCTGCATACTGCATTGGACGTGGGGCAGACGCTGCGGTCTGGGCTGGCGCTCGCCCAGCCGCACTCTTGGGGGAAGGGGACGCACGGCAGGAGGTGAAGGAGGAGAAGGGCAAAATCTTTGGGCAGCCTGGCGCGGGGGGTCAGATGAGAAGCGCAGATCATTGCCACCGAGAACCCATCGGCGGGGGCCGACCCTTGGCGGTGGCACGTCCCAGCGTCATCCAGTACCGGGCGGCGTTCAGGCGTGCCACCGTCCAGGGGTCGCCCCCCGCCTTTTTGGTGAGTTTTTGGTAACGGCGGGTTCTGTTTCTCCTCTGTAGTGCTACGCGACGTTCCGTGCAACATTCCTCACGGGTCCTTTTCGAAGCGCCAGCGTACTCAGCACGTCCCTCGCCCACACTTGGGCCGCCCTCCCGCTTCTGGCGGGGCTTTGACAGCTGCATAGATTTGTATATGTAGATCGATGGGCACCTCAGGAAACCCATGTTGGTTGGAATGTCTTCCCAAACTCTCTGACTCCAAGGGATGTCATTTCGAGCGCATGTTATGTGTTGATCTAGTCGAGTTGACATGAGTTGCGCTAAGTCAAGCTGAGGCACTTGCCAAATATTTCGAGCAACGCTGCAGAGCGCGTTGTTTCAATCAATCCTCATCGACGTGCAGACTCACTAGAAGCTGGCACGCCGCGTGACGACCTAAAATACGAAATGCCACATGTTAGATTCTTCTGTTGAATCGTAGCTGCGGCAAGCGATGCCGAGCAACGATTGGCTAGCACAACAAGCGAGGGACACTGCTAGGAGGAGGAGGAGGAGGAGGAGGAGGAGGAGGAGGAGGATGCGATGCGATGCGATGCGACCACCGTTGCGGACAGCGTCCGGGCCTAGAGCAGACCAGGTGGGTGAGGCCATGGCCTCTAGGATCTGAGGTCTGGATACATGCAATGCGAGACATATAAAAAGTTCGGAGGAGAGGGGGAGGAGGAGGAAAAGAAAAGAAAGTCCTTGGTGTCGGTGTCGGCGCGGGTTGGGCGAGACGTCTCGACGTTCGCTGAGATTTTACGTCATTGGTCTGAGTCCCGAGTGCTGGTCGACGTGAGGTCGGTGAATTGGTGTTCGAGCGCTGTCCATGCTAGGAGGAGGAGGGGGAGGAGGAGGAAAAGGAGGAGGAGGAGGTCTAGAAGGATAATGCGGAGGAGGAGGAGGAGAAGGAGGAGGAGGAGGAGGAGGAGGAGGGGAGGAGGAGGAGGAGGAGGAGGAGGAAGACCAATCATTTGGCACTGTCGTAACATTTCCTTGCATGGCGATCGTGAGCCACCTCGATGCGAATCTTGCGAGGGGTGGCGACGTCCAACAAAAAATGAGGGAGGATTCAGCAGGGAAGGCGGACAACCATCGAGCCCGAGCGAGGTCTGACAAGACTGTTGGCTTAGCATGCCTGGATCAAGAGCGTCGCTGCTGCCTGGCACTTGTTGATCCATGCGGTTTGCCCGCCAGCGCGGGGCAGACGTTCGACTCAACATTCGCGCACACGTCCTCGCCCCGACGTGCCCCCGGCTGCCGGTCAGGAGGCGGCAGCTGCAGCTGCGCACCAGGCCCATCCGGAAGCCTGCGGCCGCGGTCGCGCCTCTGGAGGAGGCGGCCGCCGGCGGGGAGGTCGCCGCGGACGGCGAGGGCGCGGGCGGCAGCGCCGCCGCCAAGGGCAGGACCGCGGCGCGGGGACGGGGGAGGAGGGGAGATAGGTAGAGAGAGAGGGGCAGGACCACGGGGACGAGGGGGGAGGGGAGATAGGTAGAGAGAGAGAGAAAGAGAGAGAGAGAGAGAGAGAATAGAGAGAGAGGGGCAGGACCACGGGGACGAGGGGGGAGGGGAGATAGGTAGAGAGAGAGAGAAAGAGAGAGAGAGAGAGAGAGAATGGAAGACAGGAGTGAAGAGAGGGGAGTGGGGGGGGAATCTTGAGGGCGGCGGGCTCCTGCCCCCTCCTCCCTCCTCCTTCCTCCCTCCCTCCCTCCCTTCCTCCTCCTCGTCCTCCTCCTCCTCATCCTTTTTCCTCCTTCTCATCCTCCTCCTTTCTCCCCCTCCTCCTCCCTCCTCCCTCCTCCTCCCCCTCCTTTCTCCTCCTCCGTTCATGCCAAAATGGTCGGTTTCTGCCGGCGCTGCAGAACCCAGAGCGCGAGCTGCAGGGGGCGCTGCAGATTCTTCAGGAACCAGAGTGCTTGCTGCAGAGGGCGCTGCAGATACTTCCGAACCCAGAGTGCTTGCTGCAGATGGCGCTGCGGATACATTTGAACCCAGAGTGCTTGCTGCGAGGGGCGCTGCAGATACTCCTGAACCCAGAGGGCTGACTGCAGGCGGCGCTGCAGATACTTTTGGACCCAGGGCGCTGGCTGCAGACTAGGCTGCAGCCGTGCAGCCGTCGTGCACGACAGTGCGGCTGAGCGCGGCCGAGCGTCGTTCGAAAGAGATGATGGGTGCGGCGGTGGCCGCCTGGTGAATGACGCTCCACCTCCTTTTCTCCTCCATCCGCCGACGCCTGCGTTGAACCTGCCCACGGAAACGGCTTCGGCCCCTCTCCCCCACCAGCAAGCCAGTAGCAGCAGAGCACGTGTACAGCAAAACATAATGCCGCAACGTAGCCACAGCATAGCAGATTTAGAACAGTTGTCGAAACTCAGTTTGGCCGAGCGGTTTAAACTCCTCGAGTCTCACCAGAACTGGTAGAGCGAAGACAATTCGGGCCCCCCAGGGAGGGCACGCCTGCTTCGTTTCCAGTTTGGTGCGCACGCTGCTGGTCGTACATATCGAATCAGCCTTTGATGTGTTGCCGTGGTTGACCCTTTCGACCCGAGGCCTGAAGCAGCGACCGACCGATCGATCTCCTCCTCCTCCTCCTCCTCCTCCTCCTCTTCGTCCTCCTCCTCCTCCTCCTCCTCCTCGTGCTCCTCCTCCTTCTCATCCTTCTCCTCCTCCTCCTCTTCCTCCTCCTCCTCCTCCTCCTCCTCCTCCTCTTCCTCCTCCTTCCCCCCCTCTCTCCTCCCCATTCCTCCTCCCTCTGCCGCCGCCGACTTGGAGGCCGAGGAGAGAGGAAGGTGACGAGATGAGGAGGCACTCTGTCGTCTACGCCGACGCTCAGCCTCCTCCTCCTCCTCCTCCTCCTCCTCCTCCTCCTCCTCCTCCTCCTCCTCCTCCTCCTCCTCCTCTCCTCCTCCTGCTCCTCCTCCTCCTCCTCCTCCTCTCCTCCTCCTCCTCCTCCTCCTCCTCCTCCTCCTCCTCCTCCTCCCTCCTCCTGCTGCTGCTGCTGCTGCTGTGCTCCTCGTCCTGGCCACCTCTCGGATCACTCCCGGGGGAGCACCACTTCCGGGGAGCACGCGGGGCGCGGCGGGTGCAGCGCAGGCCCGCTGAGCTCTTGAAGGGGGGGAAAGGGCAGCGACTTGTCTTGCCCCGCCGCCGGTGGCCCTCCCCAGTGTCCTGTGCCCTGCCGCCCTCCTCCCCCTCCTCCTCGGTGAGCAGGACGACGAGGAGGAGGAGGAGGAGAAAGAAGAGGAGGAGGAGGAGAAAGAGGAGGAGGAGAAAGAGAAAGAGGAGGAAGAGGAGGAGGAGGAGGAGGAGGAGGAGGATCAGGGAGGAGGGAGGGGAGGAGGAGGATCATGAGGAGGAGGAGGAGGAGAGGAAGGAGGAGGAGGAGGAGGATCGCGCTTCACCCCCTCCAAACCACAAAACAATCCTCCTCCTCTCCCTCCTTGTTCTCCTCCTCCTCCCCCTCCTCCTCCACCTCCTCCTCCTCGGTGACCAGGAGGAGGAGGAGGAGGAGAAGGAGGAGGAGGAGGAGGAGGAGGAGGAGGAGGAGGAGGAGGAGGTCGCGCTACCCCTCCTCCAAACGACAAAACAAATCCTCCGCCCCCTCCTCCTCGGTTGAGCAGGAGAAGGGGGAGGTCGCGCTGCCCCATTCTCCAAACTAAAGACACACTCTCCTCCCCCTCCTCGAAACGGAAACAGGGCCCTCCGGATGTCCAGAGGGGGCTCCCGCGCCTGCTGCCCGCGGCGTGCCCGCGACGCGTCGCGGGCGGCAGGTGCGGATGAGGGATCGCTGCGCAGAGGTGCGAGGAGAGGGGGTCCGACCCGACCTGGTGCCTCCTCGCTTGAGCGGCAAGCGAGGGCGGAAGTGAGAAGGAGACGTCCTCCTCGGAAGGCGGCGGGGCTTCTCAGAAGCCCTCGCGCCTTTTCCGAGAAGCTGCCTGTGCCCTCGGGGGAGGCGTAGAAGACTTTCCAGGAGGCCGGAGCACTTCCGAGCCCTCTGAGGAAGGCCCGCCCCTTCCCGTCCCCGGGATCGCCGTCGCGGCGCAGCTCGCTCGGCGGGCTGGCATGCAATGCTGGTGACTGCATGCGTGGGGAATGATGAATACGGGTCAGATGGGCCCCCGGACACGTGTGGCCACCCAGCTGAGTCGAATTAACCCAGCACTCCACGAATTACTCCGTGTCGCAATGGACGATGCGAGGGGACCTCGATCAGCTCCAACAGCTCCCGGCCCGCCGTGCGATGCCGTCGATCGGGATCGCCGTCGATCCTCCGCAGATGCCTCGCTCGGCCACGTCGCAGGGCGCGATCCGGCGCGGAGCCTCGGGCCCCGCTGCGGCCCGGATCTTTCCCGCTTCCTTGTGCTCGTTGCCCTCGTCGGCCCCTGATGCTCATCGCCCCCGTCCTCCTCCGGCAGCTCCTGTTCGTCCTTCTCGAACTCGGTTCCCGTCCTCGCCCTACTTCACATGATCTTTCTGCTTCTCTTGCCCCTCCGCCCGGAGGCGGGCAAACGGGCGGCACGTAATTAACGGCGTGGTGCGATAGGACATCGACATTCCGCGCGCCTTTGACCTGTGGATCTGCCAGCGGCGTGTCCGCAGGAATCTATTTTTGCACAGCCAAGGCCCGCCCCGGAAATAGACTGCCGCAGAATGCTGGATCCAGACAGCACCGTTAGGTCAGCGGCCACCCCACTTCATCCTCCGCCGTGGCTGTGGTGCTTCTCCGCTTCTTCCTCTTCCCGCTCCTCGTCTTCCTCCTGTGTCCCCGTCGCGATGCCACGCCGGCGGTCCCGACCGCTCGCGAGGGGCGGGACTGTCTCTTTTTCCCCTCGGGTGGGAGGGAGGAGAAGAGGAAGAGGAGCTGGAGGAGGAGGAGGAGGATCACAACGAGGGAGCAGGAGGAGGCGGAGGATAACAACGAGGGAGGACGAGGAGATGGCGGAGGATGCGGGAGAGCCAGAGCGAGGAGACGGAGGGAGGAGTCTTCCAATACCCACTCGGCCATATGAATATGAGAGAAACTTATAGACTGAAGAAGAAGTGCTGGCCTGGGCTTCGACTATGCATCGGGATTCGCTGCTGCAGCATTCGTTGGACGTGGGGCAGACACTGTGGTCTCGGCTGGCGCTCGCCCAGCCGCACTCTTGGGGGAAGGGGACGCACGGGAGAAGATGAAGGAGGCGAAGGGCAGAATCCTTGGGCAGCCTGGTGCCGGTGGTCAGATGAGGAGCAGGGACCACTGCCACCCAGAACCCATCGGCGGGGGCCGACCCTTGGCGGTGGCACGTCCGAGCGTCATCCAGTACCGGACGGCGTTCAGGCGTGCCGCCGTCCAGGGGTGCCCCCCCCCCCCCCGATGGGTTCTCGGTGACAGTGGTTTTTGTTTCGCCTTTGGGTCGCCACGCGACGTGCCGTGCAGCATTTCTCACGGGTCCTCTTCGAAGCGCCAGCGTACTCAGCACGCCTCTCGCCCACCGTTGGGCCGCCCTCCCATTTCTGGCGGGGCGTTGACTGCTGCGTACACTTGAATTTGTAGATCGAGGGGCACCTCAGTAAGCCAATGCTGGTTGGAATATTTTCCCAAACACTGTGGAGCGTGTGCTACGGGTTGCTCTGTTCGAGCTTGGCATGAGCTGCGCCCAGTCAAGCTGACGCACTTGTGAGATGCTGCGAGCTATGTTGCAGAGAACGCTGCTTCAATCAAGCCTCATCGACGTGCAGACGCACTGGAAACTGGCACGCCGCGTGACGACCTCAAATGCGATATGCAAGATTCCCCTATCAGTGCCTGCACTCAAGCGGTTCTAGCGGAGATGGAAAGAGTTGGCAGAAAGTTCTCGGCCGATTTGGGTGGACGGCCGGGTTCCTGGGTTCCCAGCTCCTGGTTCCCCGGTTCCCGATTGCTGGTTCCGGGCCGGCTTCGGTTGGCGGCGGGGTTCCGGGTTTCCGGGTTCCCGGGTTCCCAGTCGATCTCCTTATCGATGTCCCACGATCGAAATTCACCATCGATCTCATGATCGATCTCACTATCCATCTCACGCAATCGATCTCACTGCCGATCTCATGATCGCTCTTTCTATCGATCTCACTGTCGGTATCACTCTCGACCTCAATCTGGGTCTCACTCAATCGACCTCGCTATCGGTCTCAGTATCGATCTCACGATCGACCTCTCTATCGATTTCACGATCGATCTCACTATCGATCGATAGTGCGAATATCCAGACGCCTTGCGACAAATACCACCGCCGCGCCAGCAGAGCCATCTGGGTGCCGGCTGGTCGAATGGTGATGACGATGATAACAATGATCATGGGCAAGAAGAGGCATAAGAAGACCGCCGCCACATTTGGCATCTCTCAACCTCACTTCTGAGAGCTCATTCGGGCCGTCGCGGGGTTGTCCTTGGCTCCCGTGGAGCAGTCTTAAGACTCAAATGGTCCGTGTCGGGGCCCTCTTCGCCAGCGGCTCGGTCTCTTCCGGCAGTCGCGCTGCCGTACTGAGGCCGTATTGGGCCGTCGACGGGCTCGAGGGAGTCTATCTTGGAGGCCTATGGGTCTGTTCCGAACCGACGGATGCCCGAAAAGGCGAGAATGCCACAACCCGTCTAAAACTCTCTAAGGAATCAGCATTGAGGGCGCCTCTTCGGGCCCTACGGCGAATCTGCGGCCAGGCATGGTGCCTGCCACATTTTCAAGCCATCCACTGATTGGGTTTTTTCTCCGGGGTGATGTTAGATGCGTCTATTGAATAGCCCTGCGGCAAGCGATGCTGAACTACGATTGGTTGGCACAACAGGCGAGGGGCGGTGCTAGGAGGAGGAGGAGGAGGAGCAGCAGCAGCAGCAGGAGGTCGAGAAGGGTAAGGCGGAGGAGGAGGAGGAGGAGGAGGAGGAGGAGGAGGAGGAGGAGGGGGAGCGGGCGCCAGGCACCATACGGGCCTGGGCGGTGTGGGCGTTTTTGAGCACCTCGCCGAAAGCGCAACAGTAACAAACAAGCATGTGATTTTATGACAAACCTGCGACCCCCCTCTCCTCAGCAGTTCTTCCGAAAGCATGTTTTTTTTCTCGATTGTTCCAATGGGCCCCCACCACCTCCCCTCCAGTCCGAGTCCATCGGCATCCCGTGGAGTCCTGGCGGATCCCTGCGAATGCCTGCGAAGCCCAGGAGTCCTTCGAGATCCTGCGGCGTCCTTAATCCAGGTTCCTCACGACCGCGGCCTTCGTAAGGACTCCTCAGTAAGGAACCATTGCCATCCAGTTAATAGTAAGAATTCTAGACTGGAAATCCTTCGTCAGGGCTCCTTATACCCAGCCCTTGATAAGGCATTCCTTCGTAAGGCAACTTCAGCGAAGAACCCTCAGCAAATAATCCTTCGGAAGAGTTACGAAGGAATCTTTAGTCGGGAACCCTGGCCAACAAAGGTTTCCTTGACTAGCGGGTCCCTAGAAACCCTGAAAGATAAAACGTATTACGGAACCCGTAATACTGATTATACGTAAAGGATTGTTTCTGCGACTTCCGGATATCGTCAGTAAGGATTCCTTAGTGGTGCCTCATCCGTAAGAATCTCTTGATAAGGAATCCTTGGTAAAGGAGCTCTTGGGAAGGAATCGTCCATGGGAAGTCCTTCCTAAGAAACGCTTAGTAGGGAATCCTGCATAAGGGACCCTTTTAATAGGGAACCCTCAATACGGAATTTTCCATACGAAATCCGTGTGGGGGGCTCCTTCCTGGGGAGCACAGTAGTAAGGTTTCCTTACTATGGAACCTTCACTGGGACATGACTGACAGTGGACCCTTTTTGAAGGAGTCTTTGTTGAAGCACCTTTTTGTGAAGAGTCCGACGCAAGTGATCGTTAGTACGGCAAGCTTAGTAAATCTGCTTGTCAGGAATCTTCAGTAAGGTGTCTTTCCTGTGCGATCCGAAGAACCTTTCGCGTTGCATTATTTATTCATTCGAGGGACCGTACTAAGAGCTCTTGATGGGGAGTCCTTAGTCAGAGATCCTTAAGCTGGGACCCTGGCTAGTAAACCCTTAGCAAGGATTTCATTATAACGATTATTGAAGAAGAGGCCCGTCAATGAGGAATCCGTAAGAAAGAACTCTTCATACGGAACCCGTGCAATGAAGTCTTTCACAAGGGGTCTAGGTTAAGGAAACATTTCTACGGCACCCTTAATATGAGGAATCTTTATTACGAAAAAACAATGACGAATCCAGATTCGGGAGTCCTTCGTAAGGAACCTTTAGTAAGGTTTCCTTACAAAGGAATCATTGCTAAGGATTCCTTCGTCGTACATCCGTTTTCAGGAACCAGTTTTATCAGGAATCTTGGTTTAATGGAGTCCTCAGCAAGGAACGTTCCGTAACGGATGTTCCGTAAGGAAACTTCAGTAAGGTTTCTTTACAATGGGACTCGTTAGTAGCGTGTCCGTAGTAAGGAATCTTCTTGCGGGAGTCCTTGGGTAAGAAACCAACAACAACGAACCCAGGCTAGGGAATCCTCTGTAATGAACCGTTAGTACGGTTTCTTTCATAGGAAGTCTTTCCTGAGGAGACCTTCATCGCAAACCCGTATTAAGGAACCCTCAGTCCTGAATCCCAGCTGAATGGGTCTTCGGCAAGAAATCTTACGTGATGGGTCGTTCGTAAGGAAACCTGGGCAAGGTTTCCTTATTAGGGGGTCGTTGGTCATGTGCCCGTAGTGTCTTATCCTGTTGCGGAAATCCTTACTCCAGATGTCGTAATAGAAGGGAGGGGGTCTGGACCCTCCAAGACAAGCCATTTTCAGACCCCCCCCCCGTGGGAGAACCCTCCAAAACATCGTCCCCAGACCCCCCCCAGGCACTCCAAGATAGCCTGGAAGGGACCCCCCCCGAAATGAGACCCCCCTCCCTTTATTACGAAATCTGGGGTACTCAGGGATCCTCAACAGTGGGTCCTCAACACTGAATCCTCAATCGCCTCCTTTGGGAAAGCAGCGCCACGACCGCCACAGGCCAGCTGCGTGCCTGGTGCGGGAGGTGGAGGGAGGAGGAGGAGGAGGAGGAGGAGGAGGAGGAGGAGGAGGAGGAGGAGGAGGAGGAGGAGGAGGAGGAGGAGGAGGAGGAGGAGGGAGGAGGAGGAGAGGGAGGAGGAGGAGGAGGAGGAGGAGGAGGAGGAGGAGGAGGAGGAGGAGGAAGAGGGGAGGAGGAGGAGGAGGAGGAAGACCAATCATTTGGCACTGTCGTAACATCTCCTTGCATGGCGATCGTTAGCCACCTCGAGGCGAATCTTGCGAGGGGGGAGACGTCCGACAAAAAGGGAGGGAGGATGCAGGAGGGAAGGCAAACAACCATCGAGCCCGAGTGGGATCTGACAGGATTGTTGGGTTAGCGTGCCTGGGTCAAGCGCGTCGCTGCTGCCTGGCGCTTTTGAACCCAAGCTGTGGCCCGTCAGCCTGGGGCGCACGTGCGACTCACACTCGCGCGCATGCCCTCACCCCGGCGTGCCCCCGGCTGCCGGCCAGGATGCGGCAGCTACAGCAGCGCCTCACGCCCATCCGGAAGGCTTCCGCGGCAAAGGCAAAAGCGAAGGCGGGCACCACCGCTTTGCCCTGGAACGGTGGACGTTACACACCGGTCGTTGGACGTATGTATCTCCCAAACATCTTGTTGTGTTGGGTCCTCGTTTTGAAAACACAGCGCCCCGCGTCACTCCCTCCTTCTCCTCCCCCTACTTCCCCTCCTCCTCCCTCCTAGAGTTCCGGCACACCCCTCACAGATTTTCGTGTACACATTGGACGGGAGCTCCAACTAGGGCCCAAATGCCAGGGTCCACATGGCCCTGCCGCTTCATTTTGGCACACCCCTCGCACGTTTCGTGGCCCCACTGGGAGCTCCAACTAGGGCCCACATGCCAGGGTCCGCATGGCCCCGCCGCTACATGTCGGCACACCCCTCACACGTTTCGTGGCACATAGGGAGCTCCAACTAGGGCCCAAATGCCAGGGTCCGCATGGCCCCGCCGCTACAGTTCGACACACCCCTCACACGTTTGGTGGCACATAGGGAGCTCCAACTAGGGCCCAAATGCCGGGGTCCGCATGGCCCCGCCGCTACAGTTCGACACACCCCTCACACGTTTCGTGGCACATAGGGAGCTCCAACTAGGGCCAAAATGTCAGGGCTCGCATGACCCCGCGGCCTCATTTGGGCACACCCTACGCGTTTCGTGTCCGCTAGGACGGCAAGGGTCCGCATGGCCCCGCCGCCTCATGTCGGTACACCCCTCACACGTTTCGCAAATAAATCTGGATGCAACTCCTGGGAGGTCAAGTTCTGATTTTGCCCTGGTCCGAAATCTGGCTGAGTCCCGCTCAATCCGGCTTAATCCCACCTCATCCCGTTTCATCCCGCTCAGTCCGGCTTGATCCGAGGCCCCCTCCGGCGTAAGGGCCCCCTAGTAGGGCTTAATCCTTTTTAACCCCTCCGACGACAACCTCCCAGCAGTCGCCTCCCACATTGAGGCCCAGATGCCAGGGCCCGCATGTCCGAGGCCCGAAAACCATCACTTCACTAATTTTGGGCTCCAGGGCCCACTGAGGCCCCAGGGGCCCCAGATTAGTGAAGTGATGTTTTTTTTTCCCACGTAATGACCCCGAAATTCATCACTTCACTAAACCGAACCCAGGACGAAAGTCAGGGGCCGAATTGCTGCTGTGAAGCAACATAGGTCTCGTAGCATGGTCCCGCAGCCTCGCTCCTCGCACGCGCCGCACGCGCTCCGCGTGGCCCCGCTGCAGGCCGACCGGGCGGCCGGCGGCCGGGCGGGCGGGGCAAGCGGCGCGCAACGGAGAGGGGAGGAGGGAGGAGGAGGAGGAGGAGGAGGAGGAGGAGGAGGAGGAGGAGGAGGAGGAGGAGGAGGAGGAGGCGGAGGAGAGGAGGAGGAGGAGGAGGAGGAGGAGGAGGAGGAGGAGGAGGGGAGGAGGAGGAGGAGGAGGCGGAGAGGAGGAGGAGGAGGAGGAGGAGGAGGAGGAGGAGGAGGAGGAGGAGGAGGGAGGAGGAGGAGAGGAGGAGAGGAGGAGGAGGAGGAGGAGGAGGAGGGGAGGAGGAGGAGGAGGAGGAGGAGAGGAGGAGGAGGAGGAGGAGGAGGAGGAGGAGGAGGAGGAGGAGGAGGAGGAGGTGGAGGAGGAGAGGAGGAGGAGGAGGAGGAGGAGGAGGAGGAGGAGGAGGAGGAGAGGAGGAGGAGGAGGAGGAGGAGGAGGAGGAGGAGGAGGAGGAGGAGAGAGTGTGCAGGAGGTGGGCGCGTCGAGGCAGCGCACGGGGCTGGCCAAACCAGGGAGACTCCCCCCCTCCTCCTCCTCCTCTCCTCCTCCTCCTCCTCTCTCCTCCCTCCTCCTCTTCTCATCTCCTCCTCTCTCCTCCTCCTCCTCCTCCTCCTCCTCCTCCCTCCCCCTTCGTCTACGCCGCAGCCCTTTTGCTGACCCCCTCCTTCCCCTCGCCTGCCTCGCGATGCCTGCGGCTGCATGCTGTCGGGTCTGTCGCCAGGGTAAGGTCCCGCTCCAATGCTTCAAGCTGCCTCGGACATCGAGCGGCTGTTTCCTTTAGATTATTCCTGCGCCATCCTCTTCTTCATCCACCTACCCCATCGTCGTCCGTGGCTTGGATCGGCAGGCGAACGCCAACGCCAGCCGCTCCCTCGCCCTTCTCCTCCTCCTCCTCCTCCTCCTCCTCCTCCTCCTCCTCCTCCTCCTCCTCCTCCTCCTCCTCTTCCTCTTCTCCTCCTTTGTTGTCCCTTGACAGGGGGCGGCAGCCAAACGTTGCAGCCAACAGATCCTCCTCTTTCTCCTCCTCTGATTCTCCTCCTCCTGCTCTTCCTCTTCTTGGGCGAAGAAAGGTGTTCAGAACCACCTGCTTCGAGAGGGTGTGGCAATTAGGAGGGTGACATGGATGGAGTCGCTGGGCCCACGCCCCCCATGCCCCCCCGTCCGCTCTCAGTCTGAGCCTCCCCTCGTCACCTGCCTGGTCCTGCTCCTCATCCTCGCCCTGCTCCTTATCCTCAACCCGCACCCTCTCCACATCCACCTCCTCCTCCTCAGTGACCTTCCCCTGATCCTCCTCATTTTCTCCTCTTTCTCCCGCCATCCCTCCATACTCATTCATCCTCCTCTTTCTCCACATCCTCCCCATCCCCCATCCCTTCTCGCTCCCCCTGGCCAGCGGATCATCTTGGCGGCCCCCCGCACGAGAGGCCAAGAAGCCGCCGCCTTGCCCGTCCGCCGCGGAGCTCATCGAGTCCGGCGACCTGCCTGCAGATTCGGAGGACATCCCCACTCCTCTGTGGTTGGGTCCTCCCTCTGCATCCCTCGCTCCTCCTCCTCCTCCTCCTCCTCCGCCTCCGCACTCCTTGTCCCTCTCCCGCCCCTCTCCCGTCCCCTCCTCCCGCACTCCTCCTCCGCCGCCCCCTTCTCGCCTCCCTCCTCCCGCCTCCCCCTCGCCTCCCTCCGCCCGCTTCCCAGGGTAAGGAGGGGGGGGGGGAAGGAGGGATGGGGGCGAGGGACTAGAGGAGGAGAGGAGGAGAGGGAGCCGGAAGGATGCGGGAGGGAGGAGGAGGAGGAGGGAGGAGGAGGAGGGGGAGGTGGAGTAGGAGGAGGAAGAGTAGGAGGAGGAGGAGGAGGAGGAGGAGGAGGAGGACGAGGAGGATGAGGACGAGGAGGAGGAGGACGAGGAGGAGGAGGACGAGGAGGATGAGGATGAGGATGAGGAGGATGATGATGCTGATGATGATGATGTGATGATGATGATGATGATGATGATGATGATGATGATGAGGAGGAGGAGGAGGAGGAGGAGGAGAAGGAGGAGGAGGAGGAGGAGGGACGAGGTGAGAGGAGAGGAGGGATCATATCCAGGAGGCTGGAGGTAGAAAGGGGGAGATGATGATGATGATGATGATGATGATGATGATGATGATGATGATGATGATGATGATGATGATGATGAGGAGGAGGAGGAGGAGGAGGAGGAGGAGGAGGAGGAGGAGGAGGAGGAGGAGAAGGAGATCAGGAGGGATACGAAGGATGGATATGGAGGGAGGCGGCAGACGCATCGAGGGAAGGAGCAAGGTGGAAGGACGGCGCGTGGTGGCGAAGGGAGGGAGGCAAGGGGAGGAGGAAGAGGGAGGGGGAGGAGGGGGCTGAGGGGGAGGAGGAGGAGGAGGAGACGAAGGAGGAGGGGGAGAGGAGGGGGCTGAGGGGGAGGAGGAAGAGGGAGGGGGAGGAGGGGGCTGAGGAGGGGGCTGAGGAGGAGGAGGGGCTGAGGGGGAGGAGGGGGCTGAGGAGGAGGAGGAGGGAGGGAGGGAAGGGAACAGTGCGAAAGGAGTTGGATGATGAGGAGGAGGAGACGAAGGAGGAGAAAGCGATGAAGACGAGGAGGGGAAGAGGAGTGGGGGGAGGCGGGCCTGGGTAATGCACACGATCTCCCCCCCCCACAGACACACACACACACACACGCACACTCGCACACACATACACATGCACATACACACAAACGCGCGCGCACACACATACACATACACATACACATACACAAACACATACACATACACATACACTTACACATACACATACACATACACATACACATACACATACACATACACATACGCACGGACGGACGGACGTACGCACGTACGCACACATAGACACAACACATATATATATATATATATATACACGTACGCACGCACGCACGCACGCACACACACATATGTATATATATAGCTATACATGTATATATACATGTACACGCATATATATATATATATGTATAGTGGTCGGTGTTCGAAGGGCCTGACCATCACGCGATTAGTCGTTGTATAGTGCGCCCGAGATCTCTGCAGCTTGCTCGCAGTTCGTGATCAAAGCATCAACCTCGCCGAATGCACCTCTACATGAACCTGCTACTGTTTTCGACCAGCAGTTACACAATTATGTGACGAGGCAGAGGAATGACGAAGGACGAAGAAAGGAGGACAATTGCGTATGTTGGATGCGAGTCGAAGCCTGATATTCGGAAGAGAGTCAGAGGAGTGATGGGGAGGAGGGATTCAGGAGAAGGCAGGACTGAGGATGTAGGAGACTGGATGAGGGAGGAGCGAGGAATGGACGAACAGGTGAGGGGAGGAGGAGGAAGAGGAGGAGGAGGAGGAGGAGGAGGAGGAGGAGGGGGGAGGAGAGGAGGAGGAGGAGGAGGAAGAGGAGGCTGGAGGAAAGCGGGAAGAATCTGATGGAGGAGGCGGAGGGGGGGAGGAGAGGAGAGGAGGAGGGGGAGGAGGAGGAGGAGGAGGAGGAGGAGGGAGGAAGAGGAGGAGGAGGGAGGGGGGAGGAGGAGGAGGAGGAGGAGGGAGGCGGAGGAGTAAGGGCAGGGGGAGTGTGGGTATGGGGGGGGCCCTGATGTGGCGCAGCAGGACACAGGAAAGCAGGGCGACCACTGGAGCAGGGGGGAAGGCGGGGCGATGGGGGCTGAGGCGAGGGGGGCAGGCTCGGCAGACGGGGCGAGGAGATGCCGAACGTCGACGGGAGGGAGGCAGCAAGAGAACAGTGAGGGAGCGGGGGAGGGAACATTTTTTCTTCTTCTTCTTCTGGAGGAGGAGGAGGAGGAGGAGGAGGAGGAGGAGCAGCAGCAGCAGCAGCAGCAGCAGCAGCGGCAGCAGCAGCTGAGCGACGGAGGGGACACTCTTTTTTTTTCTCAGCGGCGAGGGCGGACGCCAGCGCGGCCGGGGGGCCGGCGGGCCGCGCAGGGCGGAGGCACACGAGGGACGAGGGGAGAGCGCTCGGCCTCGCTCGGACGTGCGCCCTGCTTGCTCGGGCGGGGGCCCTCGGGGAGCGTCCTGGGGAGCCTCCTGCGGTGTTAAAAGTCGCTTCCGTCACTAAATGTTCCAGATCTTCAGTTTTCGATGATTCAAGTGTCGTGTCGTCGCTGCGCCGTCGTTTCGCCCCTCGTCGGGCCTGCAGAGGTGAGAGCGGCACGCACGGAGCCGAGCAGCGCACGGGGGGGCCTGGACGCCCGGGCGATGGCAGGAAGAGGGGGGGGGGCGGCCGCGGAGGGGGCGACGCGCCGGGGGGGGGGGGGGCACCTCTGGGGTGGAGTCAAGGCGGGCGTGTCCCTCCACGGGAGGGATCTTCAAACCTAGTTTTATTTACAAGGTAGTCCGGGGACGACATTTTTTCCGAGTTTGGGACTGTGTTTGGGTAGTTTCTGATTTTTTGCTCATCTTTCGTCCAGAATCCGCCTGCAGGGGGGCAAGTCCGGCCGAAGGGTAGAGGATCTTCGCCACGAAGAGCACGCGTGCGGCCGCAGGCAACGACAACCGGGGTGCTGGAGGGGTGGCGACCGGTGCAGCAGCAGCCGGGGGCGGGGACGGCGGAGAGTTCCCCACGGAGGGAGCGGTGGGGAGTGGACAGGCGGACTGGATTGCCACCTGTAGTGCCGAAGGCGTCTGGGCAGTCAAGCGTCTTGCTAAACCTGTGGCGCTCCGCGCGGACTTCTTGGATCCGCGCTGGGCCCCCCCCCCGGCACCGCCTCCGGTGCCGCCCCTGGCGCGCTCCGCGCACCAGGGAGGGGGGCACAGCGCGGATCCAAGACATCGGTGCGGAGCGCCAGAAGTTTATGTTTGTGTGTTTTTGTTCGTCTTCTATGCAACCCTCTCACTAAGTGTGGGTGGAAGTCTCGAGACACTGCCCCGAGCTCGAAGCTCCACGGCACCGCGAGCTCGTGTAAGGAACGAGTCTGGTGGGCGGGGCGCTAGGCACAGGGCGGCGTCTGGCAGAGTCATGGCAGGGAGGGAGAGAAGGCGAACGGACAGGAACGAGGACGACTGTGCGAATGTAGGCGTCGGGCCCCCCCTCCCGGCTCACCTCCTGGGCAGTAAGAGATCGGGGCGTCTCCCCATCGCCCACCCATTCCCCCTTCACCCCTGCTCATCATCGCCGTTCCCCTCCTCCCCACCCTTCTGTCATCTGGCCCCCACCCCCTCATCCGTCTTTCTCTGCGCCCCCCCTCGAAGTTGGCGCCGGATGTGTGTTGCGCCCCGCCTCCAGCAAGGTTCAGTATAACGCGCTGGTGAAGCTGTCGGCCCCAAAGTTGCGTGCCATGGTGGCGATCAGCCATGACGGCGCGGTCAGCCATGACGGCGCTCACCACTGGCAGGCAGCGAGGGGACAACGCCCAAACCAGAAGAGACGTATCTTCATATACATGTGTACATATATATATATAAATAGATACATGTCTGAGTATGATGTCGGAAAACTTCGTGACCCTTGTCTTTGCATTTGTCGGCCCGCTTTCGGTGGGCACCCTGTCAGCTGCGGCTTCATCGAGGAGCGTCTCTTTATGTTTGCGTCAAGGGGCGTTCTCTTTCACTGCTGGCGGCGGTGCCCCCCAGTTCGGGCAGGACGAGTTACCGATTGCGATGGCACTCGACCGCGCACTGTGCGAAGGCTCTTTTGCGACTGTGAGGGGGGGGCAGCCGTCCATCCGTCCGTGCAGTTGGTGCGATTGTTCTCGATCCATACTTTATCGTCCGTTGCGCCCTGGGGCGGACGCGATTTTTTGAAGACCATCCGCCCTGCATATCGGTAATTGCTAGTGTCGTTTGGCCAGGGGTTCGCATGCTGATGTGCGAGGGGAGCTCGATCGAGAGCGAACTTTAGGAGATAAGCAGCATTCTCCACGATGTGTCTTATCGAAGAGGCCCTACGGCCGTCTCCGCCGACCCTGAAGGGGAGTCGGGAAGCCCTGGGGAGACCACAACGGAGCCGACGAGCGCACGAAGGCAGGCCGACGAGTGTCCCAGAGCGGCTTGACGAGCACCTCGAGGCTGGAGCATATACAGAACATCGTGCCTGCGTCGGCGGATTTGGATCTGGTCCAGTTTCGGGCGAGGCTGCGGTTTGAGCAGCACTCGCCCATTTCCCATGTAGCTGACTTGTGCTCTGAGCGCGTGCCTGTCGAATGTGATGGGCGCTCAGGCGAGAGCGCGATTTTCGAAGCGGGGCGCCTCTGCGGGGCGCCCTGAATCTGCGCGATTGTTGGGAGTCGCCGGATGCGGAACAAGCTGTGTGGTGGGAAGGGCGTCCCTGGCGAGCTGCCCCCGCCCGCCCGAACTTCACGTCAGGTAGCGCGTCGAGGAGAGACAGTTCATAACGAAGACGGATGAGAGGGGATAGGCGTCGACTCGACAATGCACCCTGGGACTTGGCGGTCACACCATGGATGAGAAGGTGTGCGGAGAGAGTCAGGATGCAGAGGAGGCGGATGATGGTGCATAAAAGGAGGATGAAGAGGAGGAGGAAAGGCGGGGCAGGAGTACGAGGGCGAGGACCACGGCGACGATGACGCAGATTTAAGCTGGCATCTGAGAACCGTAGTCCATCCCCATTTTTGCGGTTGAACCGCGCTCCACTGGAATAGGGCGCCCATCCGTACCACCACGTCCAAAAGTGGCAAGCAGACGTGTTACAGCGTTGGGAGTTACCACAGGGGGGGGGGCGGCGGGGGGGGGGGAGGAGGGGGGCACACCGCGGGAAGCGCGGCTGACACTTAGGCCAAAACAGATTGTGATAGTGCAGCACGGCGATCCAGCCAACGACAAATTGTTTCACCCATGTGTATTTTGCATGTCCGCATGCACTGCCAGGCCTTTCTCGACGGGGTTTTGTGGCGGGGCCATGTGCAGTGTGATAGCACACGTTGGGCAATCCGTACATATAGATATGCATATAGATATATACATATATAGGCAGAGAGAGAGAGAGAGAGAAAACAAAAAAAAAAAAAAAAAAAAAAAAAACGTGAGAGAGAGAGAGCGAGCAACTCCGGGGCGCTACCGACCAAAGACGTACACGAATGATGTTTTGCTTTTCCCCTGCTGGAGGAGCAGCAGGATCGGCGGCGAGCGAGGGGGGGGGGAAGTGAGAAGGAGAAGGCCTTCTAAGCAGGTTCGGGACCCCCCCCCCCGGCCGTCTGAGAAAGTTTCTCCGAGCCTCCCCCGGAGACGAACATCGCTTCCCAGAGGGCACGAGGGCGTTCCACTACTCGCAAAGCGCCTGATGACTCGCAAGCGTCAGAAAAAAAACACCTGTGTGCCCTGATGTCATCTATCGTAGATCCCCGGCGGGGGATCCAGGCCCATTCGCGAGCAGCTATGTGTTGCGCGTGGTGGAACGCGCTCGTCGACAGAGGGCACGCGGGCCTCTGCGCGCCCGCCGCGCCCTCTCGGGCCGTGGCCCCCCCGCCTGTGGGCCGGGACTGCGGAGGACGATGCATGGCGAGGAAGCATGTTGCCAAATAATTTCCAGATGTCTAAAATCGGGCGACGAAATCTATACATATCCACTGCTCCCTGGCCAGGCCCACTCTGAACCCAGGAGCTGTGTATACGCCCTCCTGGCCCAGCCAGGAGGGTGTGGCGTATACACTGCTGCTGGGTTCACGGTGTGCCTGGCCAGGGAGCAGTGGATATGTATAGATTCGGTCGCCCTATAAAACATGTGTTAAACATGCCTTAAACATGTGAAGCACGTGTTCAGAACATGCTTAGAACATGTCTCCGACATTGTACACACATGGTAAACTCAATCATAGGACTGTTAGGGTGTCCATTGTCGTGGCATCCACAAGGCTAGGACTGCGGAGAGACGTTCCTCCTCCTCCTTTCTCCCGAGCCCGATCCTCCTTTCTCCCTCCCCGTGCTTCCCCTCCGCTTGCTCCCCAGCCTCAGAGAAGGAAAAAGGGCACTCCGAGTTTCGCGATAAGCGTCGCGGGGGGGCGGCGTCACCCTCGCCGACAGCCCCACATCGATCCCCGTCGCGGGCAGCCACCGCGCGCCGAAGGCGCTCCGACTCCCGTCGCGGCGCGACGACGAGGCGAGGTGGACCCCCGTTTGGGAGGTACCCTCCCACGCTTATTAAGAACCCAGAGTACCCATACCGCTACCCTTTGCCCGTTTTCCCCTTTTTGGACCTCCTCGGAGGCTCTCGTCGCCACCGTCGGATTCGCCCCGAAATTCTGGCAGAACGCACCTTGGGAGAGGTCCGGGGAGCAGCGGTATCGGTACTTTCCGTTTTCCCCAGCTTCCTCCCCAGCCCCCCCCTACTGTTCACCCGAGAGCCGACGTCCCGAACAAATCAAAAACAGAGTGCAAGATCACGGCCAGAGCCCCAGGCCCCATCTTGTTGCGCCATCTTCTGTGCGGATCGATCTGTGAGGGTCCCAGGCCTCAGATCTGGTTGAAAATGCTCGGCTCGAAAAGAGTGGGACGCCAGGATCTCAGGGTCCGTCTCGTACGTTCGATCCTTCTTCCTCGTCTTCGCTCGATTCATCGTGCTACTCCTCAGCGTCGTCGTCGTCGTCGTCCTACCCCCCCCCAACCTACTCCTGCTGCTCTTGGTTCCTCGTCGTCGTCCTTCTCCTCCTCCTCCTCCAGTCTTCCTCCCGTCATCCCTTGCCCACTCCTTTCCACTCCCCCCTCCCCTCCTCGTTGTCGTCCTTTTCCTTTCCCTTCCCCCACCTCCCCCTTCCCTATTTCCTTCTCGCTCTTCCTCCTCCTCCTCAGATGTACGGGCGCTTCTCCTCCTCCTCCTCCTCCTCGTCATCCTCCGCGTCCTCCTGTTGTTCCTCCTCATTTTCCTCCTTGTCCGCCGCCGCCTCCTCCTCCTCTCCGCACTCTTCTGCTTCGTGTTCCTCCTCCTCCTCCTCGCCTCACTCTTATTGTTGTTGTTATTATTATTATTGTTAGTCTTGTTATTCGCTTTGTTATTGTTTTATGAGTAGTATTAGATGACTGTTATTACTTGTGCTAATATTATTTTTACCAGTATGATGCTTATCATTATTATTACTATTATCATTCGTATTAGCATTATTAGTATTCGTATTAGTATTATTATGATTATTAGTATGAATATTAGTATTATTAGTATTATTAGTAGTAGTAGTCGTAGTCGTAGTCGTAGTCGTAGTCGTAGTCGTAGTCGTAGTAGTAGTAGTAGTAGTAGTAGTAGTAGTAGTAGTAGTAGTAGTAGTAGTAGTAGTAGTAGTAGTAGTAGTAGTAGTAGTAGTAGTAGTAGTAGTAGTAGTCGTATTATGTATTATATTTGTTGATCATAATAGTAGTATGTGTTGTATGTTTCTTCTTCCTTATTGATATCATTACTATTTCTCCTCCTCCTCCTCATCCTCCTGTTCTTCTGCATCCTCCTCCTCATCCTCTTCCTCCCCCTCCTCATCCGTCCACTCCTCCTCCTCCTCCTCTTCTGCAATGCCTGTTCCTTCCCCCCCGCCCCCGCAGGTGGTCAGGCTGATTCGGCACACGCACGGCCTTCCCCCGAGCCAGGGCGACCAGAAGCACCTCGAGGAGCTCGAGGACCGGACCAGGGAGCAGCACCAGGAAGCGGAGGAGCGGAGGTGGCAAGGCTCCGGGTTGCGCACAGACAGCCTTCCGAGGTAGTCGTGGCTGGCCTCACCAGGAGGAGGAGAAGGAGGAGGAGGAGGAGGAGGAGGAGGATTTTTTGCATGGGACCATGCTGCAGCCCACATACACCACTCAGGGTGGGCGAGGCCCTGAGGGACATTAGTAAACTGAGCCGTGACCGATCGAACTGACAACGAACGGAACGGACCAGCGAGTGTGCCTTGCACTGTGCAAACAGGGCATAGCACTCACAGATGGCAAAACGTGCTTAAATCGACGGAGACCCCACTCTTTTTTGGATGGAGTCCCTTTTTCAACTTAATCCACGGATTGCTGTGTGTGGCCACCCTGTCTGGCTCACACTTCTTATCGAGGTTCCGCAATTGGCCACCCGAGGTCATATAACCGCACTTGTGGCAAATACAAATAGAGGACCCGTCCGAGCAATCGAGCAGCACACACACGTGCCCGAGCGCTCTGAGCCTGGCAGGTGAGACTTTCAGGACAGCATCGCACTTGCCAGCAGGTGGCTGGGCCGAAGAGAGGCCGCGCTTGCCTCGCAAACACGCGGCGCACTGCCAATAGGTGCCCACCCAGCTCCACTGATGGACATTCCTTTTCTCCCCTCTGCGGACGCTCCGCAGGGGGAGGAAGAACACGCTGGACATTGGGGCCCAACACTAAGCGAGGCCAGAGAGGAAGCAGCTTGGTTGCCTTGGCGCAAAAAACGATCCCGATCGTCGGTGGCAGCCTGGACGTCCAAATGGGCTTTCACCTTTTCCAGCTGCACCTTAGACCAGTGATCCTTCAAATGCTGAGCCATGCCACTATACATACGCTTGCCTGAGCACATCTCAGGCCACGGCAGCTGTGCAAAATCCACACAGCCCTGGCAGTCAGAAAAAATCGTGGATGGGCCAGTCGCCCACTGCACGGCAACTGACATGGCATGATATCATGCAGCCTGCGGCGTCTGTGGGCACGGCGCCCACACTGGACCTTTCACTCGCACAATAGCATTCCCCGTTTCTTTGGAGACGACCACGATCGACCAACCAGCGCGGTTCAATTCACCAACTTTGAAGCGAGTACACGAGCCGTCCACGAACATGTCACCCTCGAAACACTTGACAATGTCCCCCTCCTCCTCCACCCACTCCACCTTGATGCCCCCCGACACGAGAGGCTGCGGGAAGTTGGAGGGGTGGGGGAAGACGCCGTAGCAGGCCAAGTTGTCATCCGCCTTAGCTGCCCACCCTTGGATGTCCTGTTTAACTAGCTGATCACGCAACTCGACCACCTCGGGGCATAGACAATCCCAGAGGCGATGTCTAAGGGTGTCTAAGACATTACCACAGAGCGGACACACCGTGGTAGGCAGCACGTAACCTAGGCTGGCCGCCCGTTGGCGAGTGTAAATCGCCTGGCAAAAAAGAGCCCGCAAACAACCTTTCTGAAAGGGGGTGTATTTGGAGCTATGGAGGTAGCTGAGGACAGGATCGACACACGCTCTCCCCTGCATATTGAGCCTGGCCCCCAGATCCCACTCGAGCCCCCTCACAACAGCCTTCCGCAAAAGCGTACGGATCATTTGGGGGGAAAACTCTGTAAGTTTGAGCTCCTCCCCCAAATCAGTCAGCAGGACCCCGAACGCGGGCATAGTCCAGGAGATGCGCTCCAGAGACTTACGAAGGGCCGTGACAGGCCCCGAAACACTTCGCCACAGCGGGGATTCACCCTCAAAGCCAGCCTGCCAAGCAGCACGAAGCTCAGGCAGAGACAAGGTGTGCCGATACAATCGGTGATGGGCCCACCAAATCTCCTTAGATCAGCGGATAATGGGAGCAACACTCGCATCCCAACACGGCTCTCCGTGCGCAAGCAAAAGAGCCGTCAACGATCGGCCTTTAGCCGACGGCTGCAAAACAGATCCAGCCTGGCGCCGATAAGTCAAAAGCTCGATGGACCTCGGACCCAAAAAGCTCCGACGCCAAGGCCCCAGAAGCAGACACGTTTCGGGCAACGCGGCCCCCAACCGTAGGCCGCAAACGGGCCAGCCGACCAACAAACCCCACGCTTTTCCGTTCACGCTTTTTATGCTTGGCATTCCGTCTCTTGACTCGACGAGGCCGGCCAGCGCAATCATCAACCCCGAGGTCAGGCGCCGACGCGACCAGTGGTCCGGCCAGCCCTCCAAGCTCGGCGGCCAGCTCGCGTCCCAGCGCCTTGGAAGAACAAATCAGCGACCGCTTCCCTTCGCCATTACTGACCTTAGGCCCCACCCCGTCCTCCAAGACCGAGTACAGCTGACGAGCAGCAGGAGGCAAACTGGCCACGATGTATCCCTTAGTGCCCGTAGCACTCGCCCCTGAATCGTCTACGTACAGCTGAAAGTGCACCTGGGGGGGGGGGGATCTCAAGCTTGTCCAGGTCCTGAATAGCATAAACCCGAATAAAAGTGGTGGCGAACGTACACCACGCGAAAATGCCCCCCTCGGCCCAGTAGGGCCCATCCACGAGCCCGTTAAGGACGAAAAAACGAGCCTGGAGGTACATGGCAATCGCCAGCCGAGCGATAGCCAGCGGGAAATGCATCTGCCTGGCGCGCCACAACAACATTTTCAGGTTAATGGTTTCATCGTACCTGTAGAGGTCAAGCAGCACCGTAGCCGCTTCTTCTTTAGACAAGGTAGACGTCTCCGCACGGACTGCCTGCCTCCAGACAACGCCCTGAGCCCCCTCGAAGGGGCCCGCCGCAAAATGCTCACGAGAGTGGGTGAATTCCCACTGCTGGGCCAGCGGGCGCCTCACCTTCCCATGCGCACGGTGCAGGGCACAGAAGTTCCCAATGGGACGAAACCCCACACTCGCTTTGGGAATGAGAGAAAGAAGAGTGACGGAGATCTGGACAGGGATCAAAGCCGCGAGCTCCATAAAGGCAAACAGGTCCACGACCGTAAGCAACGACGCGTCACTCATAAACGAGAAGTGCTTCATGTGAAAGCCATCCACACTGACAGAAGTATTGTCTTTACACTTCCTAGAACAGTCCCTTATGGCTTCCACAGGCACAGGAGGCAGAGGCGGGGCCAACTCACCAATCTCGAACCAACTCCCAGACCCTCCGTCCCCCCAGAGCTTCGAAAACTTGGAAGCTTCAGCCTTGAGTAAAGACAGAGGGTCAGCCACCACCAACCCATCCAGGGACAGGGTGGTGGGGGGGGTCCAGGGAGAGGCCCCCTTGGAGACCGTGTGCACACGACGGGCCCCCCGATGCGCTTTGAAGAGAAGCCACTCCCTCCATTCCTGGTTGGCTTGCTTCCTGGATCCCGCCTCCACCTCCGACAGAACAACCTGGAAGGTGCCCTCCAAGTGAGTAAAAAGGTCGAAGACGGGCCCGTCCTTGGCCTCGTACATCGGCAACTCACGGATAAACTCGAGCAGAGCTGACAGGTAGCTGGCTGTGGGCCCTAAGTACTGCGAAAACTGAGGCGGCGACTCCAAGGCCTGGAGCACCGAGTTGATGCCCGTCTGGCTGCCCTCTGACCAGAAGCCTTCGAAGTGACAAAACATGTTGGCCAACCACCTGCACGCGAACAACTCATTAGACTTACTGGGGGGCCCCTTGAGAGACAGGGTCCTTTTTGTTCAAGATAGGCCTCCAAACCATCTGAGGGGGCTTCCCTCTCGAGCCCCAAACGGGCAGGACCTTACCAGTGGCCGCGGACACCTCACGCTCAGCAGCATTCGCCCAAAGCTTGTAAGCACGATCGAGGGCCTCTTGGGCCCTGTCCCAATCACCCTGCCCCACCGCAGCCCTAGCAGACTCCAGCACCGCGTGCACCCTCGTAGGCGCAGGAACCGATTCAAAAACTTGAACAGGGGCCAGGGGGCACGTGGGGAGCGGCGAAGGGCGCCGAAAGGCCAGGGCCTGGAGTCGTCCCAGGCTGGGATGCAGCTTCACCTGCACGGGCAAGTGGGGGGTGAGGCTACTCTCGCGGATCACCTGGACTTGGCTAACGGCCTTAGCAACACCAGCAGAGGCAATAAAAACATCGAACTGCTTAAGACCAGCCGTAGACTTGCAAGTATGCCCGTCGGGAATCAAAAACTGGATTGCACCCGGCCTGCACCCGAGGCCTCCCGAGAGCAGCGCGGTCGGCTCCATATTAAAATCCGCCCCCAGGAAAAAGGGGTATCCCAGGGCCTGTCCCAAGGACAAGCACGAGCAGAGCAAATCGATATTTTCATCCGATAAGTCCTGGCAATCGTGGAAATAGGCGGACAGGATGGCCAGCTGCGCCTGCCCAGGGATGTCCACGATGCCAACCAGAGCCCGTCCAGCGACAATCTGATGGCCAGACGGCGGCGCAGACAATCCCAACGACTCGCGCACGAACAGCGCCACTCCAGCAGAGGCTCCGCCTCCACTAGCCGTCACCGCCGTCACCCACAGGCTCTTCCACCCATGGCGAATAGCCCGCGAAGATGCAGATGCCAGCTGGTGCTGCAACTGCTTATGCTCCTGCGTGACCACCACGTCAGCAGCCGTCTTCTGCAACCACAGCTGTCCCGATCCCCAACCAGAACCGTTACAGGTCTCAATAACTGGTGCGAGCTGGTCCAGCGGGAAAGCGTCGGCCTCCAGAGGCCGCAGCAACTGCTCCTGAGGCCTGGGTGAGACACCGGGCATGAGTGGCCCACGAAGCTCCAAAAACTTACGAGGAGGGTTCGGGTCACTATGCACGAGGGCCGACTTGGCCCTTGCCAACGTGTGACGAACAGCTTTCAGGAGAGAGGGACGAGCACGCGGCCGAGAACCGTCGGCATAGGCGTCAGCCTGCAAAATCCACGCACGGCGAGCCGAAAAAAGTTTGGAGGCAGTCAACTCGACAGCTCCAGCGTTCTTACCCAGGTTCTCGATGCTGCATGCGGCAAATGGTGGGGAGGAGGAAGAAGGTCGACCCTCGGTCGACTCCAAAAAGTTGACAGGAACGCAGTCTGCCGAAGACTCAGAACTCAGAACAGGTACACGATGAACGCCTCCCTCGGGAGGCAGAAGTCGTCCTTGATTCCCCCCCTCAGGCGTCGGGCCCTGCGGGGGGGGGCTGCGTGTAACTCGGTCAGCACGAGTGCGAACATCACCAGGCGCAGCCGCGGGATCTGGCGGGCAGTCTCCAGCGGGCGCCGCCGCGGGCGCGGCAGCCCCCTCACCTCCCTGGCCAGGAGGCGCGGCACGTGCGGCTGGTGAACTGCCACTCCCTCCACTGGGCGCACCACCAGGGGCAGCACCTCCAGCAGCGGGTGCACCATCTTGTTCTCCCATTCTGCGACGCTTGGCCTGTAGACGCTTGAGCTGTTCTGCCTGAGCATCTTTGAACGCCTTGGACTTCGCCGCAGCATCACCGAAGAGTTGTTGTACCGCAGCCTGGATACCTTCTTGGAGTTGTTCCAGCCTCTTGGTGGCCTCGCGCTTGTCTTCGTCCGAGAACTCATACTCCTCCTCCGCCGTGAGAAGGCTGTCCAAGCAGATGGGCAGGGTCTTCCCGCTGAGGAGGTCGTCGATACTGAGCTGTGGGCCAGGCTTAGGCTCCTGTCCGCAACCCGTGGACGACTGCAACTGGCTGACGAGCGACTTGTGCTTCTCCTCGGCCACCTGCAACTCTGTCTTGAGGGTACGAACACGATCACGTTGCTGGTCCAATTCGCCCTCGAGACGCTCGCAGGCGGTGAGGCTCTTCCCGAGCTTGGTCTCCAGCGCGCGCATCTCGTTGAAGGCGCGGTTGACCTGGTGCTCCAGAGGGACCTGGGTCTTGGCCTCGTCGTTCTGGCGCTGCAGCCGAATGTCAAGCTCCTTCTGCCACTTTTCAGCGGCCTCGGGGACGCCCATGCGACGCAAGCCGTCGACGAGCCCGCGCAGCTGGTCGACGTCGGAGAGCTGGGTCGCCGCAGGCGGGGGGCCGCCCCCGCCAGCCAAGAACTGAGGGCCAGGGCGACGAGGTAAGCCATCAGCATGAGCGGGGCTCGCAGCGAGTGCCCACGACCCTGGGGGCGCGGGACCTCCTGCAGCGGCTCCCCACACGCCTTGCGGCTGAGGCCACGGCTGGTCCATCCGCGGGGTCGCACGCCAGGCCCAGCAGTTCTTGCACTGCTGCCATCCTTGTTTGTTCTTCTTGCATCCACACGAACTGCACGTCCATGTAGATCCTGGACTGAAGCCGTCCCAGTGGACCCAGCCGCTCTCAGCCGAGCGCGCCGCGCGCCATGGCCAGCTGGCAGCCCGCGGAGGGGCAGCACGCTGGACGGAGCATGGCGGCGCCATGGCGGCAAGGCAAACTGGGCGAGTGAAGGTATCTTGTCTGATCGCTTGGCTCGCAGGAACGCGTGCCCTTCTGAAGAACGTCCCTGCAACGCAACTTGGCGCAGAAGGGCTAGGAGGAGGAGGAGGAGGTGGGGGAGGAGGAGGAGGAGGAGGAGAGCCGCCCCCCCCCCCCCCCCCCCGAGTAGTCCAGGGCGGTCTCAGCGCCCCGGCGCCGCCTCCGGCGGGGGCCTCTGGAGCGCTCCAAGCCCCCCCCCCCGGGGTTGGGCTCCCGAGGCCGGCCTGGACTGCTCGGGGGGGCCTGTCGAGGGCAGCCGGGGCTGCCCTTGGGGCTGCCATGTGTGCAGCCCGAGGCCGTGCCAGAGGAGGTGGGTTCGGATGCAACTCCTGGGAGGTCAAGTTCTGTTTTCGCCCAGGCCCGGAATCTGGCTTAATGATCCAGCTGAATCCCGCTGAATCCGGCTGAATCCCGTTTAATCCCGCTTAATCCGGCCTAATCCCGCCTAATCCGAAGCCCACTCCGGCGTAACAGCTCCCAAATGGGGCTTCATCCTCCTCAATCTTTCCGACGAAAGCCTCCCAGCAGTTGCCTCCTATGAGCACGTGGGGACGGATGGAATGACGAACCCTGAGGTCCTGGCGACTCGATCTCTGCGAGCCGGGCGCTCTCGCCTTCTTTCGGGTCCCGAGGCCCGAGGCCCCCACAGATCGACCCGGCTCGAAAAAATGGCGCAGAAAGATGGGGTCTCACCGCCCACCAAACCACCCCAACCCAACCCGAAGGCTCAGATTTACCCTCGATTTCTAGTGGGGGGGGGGGTCGGGAAACATCGAAAAAACACGCGTGGAACCCTTACCCCCCCCAACCCGAAATTCGGGTCTTCGGGTTGGGTTGGGGTGGTCTGGTAGGTAGTCAGGGTCCGGGGCTCCGGGCGCGGATCTTCACGATGTTGCAGTTTTGTCGCTAGGTCGGACCTCAGGGACTAGTATACCAGGAGGAAGAGGGCAGGCAGGAGGAGGAGGAGGAGCACGAGGAGCAGTGGTACTTTACTTGTGCGCGGCGGCATGAGCGGGCGGCTCGCACGCCCACCTGCCCACCACGGGGGGGTGGCTGCAAATTCCCTGCGAGCAGGACGGGGTGGGTAAAGAAGGACACCATGCGCCTTTCCAGCGACATACGGCTTCAGGCACCAGAGGCCTGCACCAAACGGGATGGTCGGCACCATCTGCCCTCCCGGCAGCAGCGAGAACTATGCAGCATCACGTGCACCCCCTCGTGCATGTTTTGTGAGACTTGTGATCAACAGGCTCGTCCTATTCATTTCCTCGTCCAGGGGGATTGCGGGACTTGCTGCGCGCGACCCGTGCGGCTGCATTCGGTCTTGATGCGTTCCGCCACTGCTCCTCGATGCGCACGCGCGCCCGTCGCCGATGTGCTCGCGCACCCGCGTCCTTCTCTCGGCCTCACGTAATCAACAGTTTGCTCTTCGCCGGAGTGACCTTCAGGTTCGCGGCCTTCGGGCGGCGCGTGTGAGTGCGTGGAAGAACACACACACACACACACTGGAACAAAGAAGCACGCACTGTGAAACACACACATATACACTCAGACATTCATACACACACAGACACGCATACACATACACATACTCATACACATATACACATACACACACTGTTTGTTTTTTCTTACAGAGAGCACACACTGTGTGTGCCTTTTTTCCAAAGGAAACCCACACATGCAGGCCGCGACTGTCGCAGCCACACCAACGGCTGGCAAGCTGCACCTCAAAGGCCGCTCCTGCCCAGAGGCGCTCCTCTTGCGTGTCGCCGATTCTCTCTCCCCCCCGACGATGAGATGACGACCGGTGACCCCAGACATCCGACGTGGTGATTGTTGTCACGACGCGGGCCCTCAGAGGCAAAATGCAGTGGGGGCCCATGCCAAGAAGCACCCTTCTCGCCTCCAGGGTGCCCCAGGTTTCTCGGGTTTCGATGCTTTTTCGATGGAAAGCGCGACGTTCCAGGGTTGGGTTTCCAGAGGAAGGTTTCCTGTGGACTGGCCTCCACTGTATGGACCCCTCCCCAGGAGACCGACGCTACATCCCGACTTGCGTTTGGACACCCCTGGGCCCGGTGAGGGCCCCTGGAGGCCGAAAGCAGCGTCTCGTGTTCATGACGCCAGCCCTGCGCTTCCCCCACGCGCCGATTCTCGGCGGTCGGGCCCTGCCCCATCTTCTTCTCCTGCCCCTCGCGCGCCCCGCGCCCAGCGCGTCCCGAGGGTGCCGATCTTCGCGCCCGCGCCGGCTGGCGCTGCCGAGAAAAGAGTTCGTGGCGCGAGGGGGTCAATGACGACGCTCGGCACCGGCGCCGTCGAGAACGACGGCCGTCGACGACGTCGCCGAGGGCACCGCCTTCGCCAGTCGGGCGCCGCGCGCGCGGGCCGACGCGGCGCCCTGCGGCCCGGGCCATCCCAACAGTGGTATATGCTGCGTGTGCGCCGTCCCCGGGCAGGGCGACGCGCGCTCAAACATCTTGCAGTACACAGTGCCGTTTTTACTACATGCTCCGCGTGCGGACTCATGAATTAGAATGCGGGGGTTTCGTATTCAAAACAACGATGCGTTCATGCATAAATTTACTCATACCTTAAGCATGTATTAAAATCTCATTGTTTGAATTAAGACCTGTCAGTATATGTTTTAAACATCAGTAAACTAAGACCTGTCAGTAAAGTATTAAAATCTCAGTATAGTTTTAAACCATCCTATGTATTAAGAACTGCCCTGTATGCGCTCGGTGGCGGCTGCAAGACTATGGCGGGAGGGGGGGGAGCACACAGACACAAGGGAGCGTCGCTTCCCCCGGAGATGTGGGAGCAGATGGGCAGTGGGTGGGGGAAGGCATACACCCAGAAGGTATGGGAAAATGTTGGGAATCTGGTTATTTGTGTCTATTTCTTTGTGTGTCCCAGGGCTCCTTTCACTATGATGCTGCTTGATCTGGCCGGACGCACGCCTCCAAGGAGGACGCACAGCACCAGCACGCCCTCCTGCAACCCCACCTCGGGCCGCCCTCAGGCTGCCAGGGAGGCGGAGAGGGCGAAGGAGGAGGCCGAGCGGGAGGCGAGGGAGGGCCCGCGGAAGCGGAAGATCAAGGGCGTGGTGAAGGACCGCTTCTCTTCCGACCTGCTGCGCGCCCGTCCGGGGCGCAGCGTCAGGGGGGGGGGATAGGCTCTCGGTTCGAGGTTCCAGGTTCTCGGGCGCTGCCGTCGCTCATCGGCGGTGGTCCAGCCTCGGAGTGCTCTCCGGCAGCTGCGCCTCGCCGAGAGCGTTCCTGGGGTGCCTGGATCGTCGCGAAAGGCCGCTGGAGAGCCGAGCTCTGACTTGAAAGCCAGGGGGCAACGTCAGGGGGGAATAACTCGACTCCGGGGCGATCGCACAATCGGCCATGCATCGCCGAGAGATCGGCCCGATGGCCCGCACCGCTTATCAGACGATCGCGAGCATGGATCGAGGGGGCGTGGATTAGCGACGGGTCCCGCTCGCCCGGGAAGTCGCGGGTTTCCGCCGCCGAGCGAGGCGGCGCCGGCCGCATTTTGGGGGAGGGCACTTCTCGCGATCCATGGATTTGGCGACCGCGCGCCAAATCCATGGATCCCTAATCCATGTTTGCGCGCCCCCGAGCTTAGGAACGTGCGGCGTCGGTATCGGTACCGGGGGCCTGTCGCCGATCTGTCGGCGGTGCATCGCCGATGACAGGTCGATGTTCCTCTTCTTCACTGGCCCAGTTCCCCCATCGCCCTCGCTTGGTTTATGATGTTCCAACCTAGTTTAGCCGTGATCACCAGAGAGATTTTCGAGCACCAAACAACAACCGAAACTCGAGGGTTTTTTCACGTGTCGGGCCCTGGGATACACTCGTCCGACACTGTTCCGACACTGTTTGGACATTATTTCGACACTTTTCCGGGTGCTCGAAATTATTTCTGGGATGTGGTCTTGAAGAACGATGGGAGCAACATAGCGCTTGTTGTTCTCTTGCGCCACGATTTGGTTTCACAGCGCAGCTAAGTCTGGAGATGGAACTGGTGCCAGGAGCCGCCCCCGGCATCAAGGCCCACATCGTGGTGGTTCCACGTTTGCATTATTGGCGAGCCATCGAACGCGCAGACAATTGACAAGTTTGCAGCGTGTTCGCGATGCGCCGTGCTTGAGATTGTCCCAGCTCCTGGAGAGACTGCATCGCCAAAGAGCCGTTGCGGACTTCACATTTGTGAAAAGCATGTGGGTCTCTGTGACTTTGTAGCCAGGCACTTTGTGACTCGAGGATGATCAATGTGCACGTTGTGGTTCCCCCGGCCGGCCGGTGAAACAGCACTGCAAGCGTTACCAGATCTTGTTTATGTCTGCCAGCGCGCCCCTCCTATACTGCTCCAGGCGCAAGTGGACATCGCTAGTAATGATCGACAAACTTGACCGATCGATTCGCCTGTGTCCGCTTTGCTTGCCCGCCGCTGCTGACGCCCCAATTGTGTTATTTGCGGCGGTAGTGGTCTACTCCCTAGTTGGCTCATCATTGCGCTACCTCTCTCTCTCAGGGCTGGATCTAAACGGTGTTTTGGCCATCTCGTGAGCCGTTTCATTTTTCGTGTTGTTGTGCATTCAAGGCGAAGCGAAGGCAAAACGAAGAATAACCTTGTGCCGATGATAAAAAAGACCCCTCCCCTTTTCCGGGTTAGAGTTGATTATCCACGGCCAAGAAGAGTTTGGTCAGGGCCGATCTTTTTTATCACTGTGAAAAGTTCACCATCGAGGTTAACTTTCTTCTTATGTTGAGATAGCAACATCAAGCGAAGCGAAGACGTTGTCGAGGATGTCTCAAGCGAAACCGATCTTCGACCCTCGGACCTCGATCCTCGATCCTCGGACCTCGCCGCCGTCGATCCTCGGACCTCGATCCTCGACTCTGGGATCTCGATCCTCGATCCTCGGACTTCGATTCTCTATCCTCGATCCTCGGCTTTCGGTCCTCTTAACATCATCTCTTTCTCCTCCCACATGCTGGCCTCCGGTAGGCAACATTTACAATCCCCTCGCGACCCCGAACTTTGTTATCCCTGTGGGATTAATCTCCGTGGTGTTCGGTTAACAAAAACAGCACGAACACGAAAAACACCGTTTAGGCTCAGCCTTGCTCTCGCTCTCTCTCTCTCTCTCATTTTTGTTATCTGGTGTCTACCGGTCTGCTTCCGTATCTGCCTGCCGTGCCTGCGTGGTTGGACAGCGTGTGACCAGCCGCTCTGTTCCATTACATCCTACCTTGGCTTTGTGAGACTTCTCTGGATTAGATGGGCACAGTAAATTGAAGTGGAGTAGAGTAGTGAGCTTTTCGTCGCCATTGATTTTATCCTCCCCCTCCCCCCCCTCTCCTCGTACTCGTCCTTCCCCTTCTCGTAATACCAGAGAGGATGATTCCCAAGCACATGCCCTTGGCACCTGCCACCCCCGAATCAGGTACGTCATCACCGCTCTCCTCAAGCCTCTACCAACGGCGCCCACCTACTGCCCAATGCCCCTAGATGTCGCCCCCATGGCCTCCCGCGGAAGGAGCTGTTGGAAGAGATCATGCCTCAGAACGACCTGCAGCAGGTGATCATTGCGAGTTTCGTTTGTGCGCGCATGCGCTCATTTATTGTTCGTTACCGGCAGTAACAATTCGTTGCTCGTCGTTTCCCCATTCCGCCGCGGACCCAAGAGCGTGTGCCACGCCGGCGCACGTCTTTTCTTTATAGGTTCGTCGTTATCGTAGTTAACTGCCTTGAAGCAGCCTGCATCATGTGACGCTTGCACTGCTAGTCATGTTCAAGTAGGGAGAGAGAGAGAGAGAGAGGGAGAGAGAAAGAGAAAAAGAAAGAAAGAAGGGCAGCAACACATAACCACGGAAAGAGCAATATACATACATAGAGGGAGATAGCGGCAGGGAGAAAGAGAGAGCGAGACAGAGAGGGATGTGACTAAACAGAGAGAGAGGGAGAGAAAGAGAGAGAGAGAGAGATGAACAAACAATAAAACAAGCGAGGCGTGCCCGGCGACAGGCTGCATGTAAGAATCCACACACACAAACTTCCTTCTGGCGCACCGATGGGGTGTAGTCGGCAGTTCGAGAATCAGAAAGGCGGGGCACGCTCAAAGTAAGTTGACCGCCTCGCGCGGGAGCAACACACACGTTCACACTTTCTGCATCGCGGCCACGCGCGCAGCGACGCGGCGGAGGCAGTCGGAGACCCGGAGTCGGCAGAAGCGCCGCAGGGGTCGGGCCGCGGCCAGGGACGCATGCGGAAGAGCACGCATGCGCACACAGATGCTCTGAAGTGAGCCAGTGAGATGCGGAAGCAATGTCCTGCCGGGAAGCAGCGGCGATGCATCGTGCGAGCAGCAGAAGAGGACATGCAGAGAGAGAACACCTGGGGATGCCTCGTGGGCGCGGCGCGTGGCACCAATGCCCCGGCCCCCTGCGGGAAGCGAGAGCGTGGAGACGGAGAGGGCGCCGCGTCGGAGAGGCAGCGCCACGCCGCGTCGGAAGCGCGAAGGGAAGCCTTGCAGCATGCCTGGGGGAACAACAAGTGGCATGAACACAAAAGCTCGGAGGTCCGCGCGGATTTCTCGGATCGGCGCTGGGGCCCCCCGGGCGGCGCCTCCGGCGCCGCCCCTGGCGCGCTCCGCGCGCCAGGGAGCAGGCTCCAGCGCCGATCCGAGAAATCCGCGCGGACCTCCGAGTTTTTATGTTCGTGCCACTTTCTGCCCCCCTCGTGCCAGAGACCTCTGGCGCAGCAGGTCAGAGGCAAGGGGCGCGGGGTCGTCAGGACGCACCGTGCCGACGGTGGGCCGGCCCGCCTGCAGCTGGCCGCCGAGGAGGCAGGAGGTCGGCACAGCGAGGCAGGCGCCCAAGCGGGGTGCGAGGCAGCAGGAGGCCGGAGGAGCCGTCGAGGGGCACCGGCCGCCTGCGTCGGCATGGAGCGGGAAGTGGGGGATCGGGGGCGGCAAGTCCGCGCCGCGGCTCCATTGGTGAAGCGGGCGTGCACCCACGCTCGTGGTGGCAGGGCGGGCAGCTCTCCAGCGCCAGGGACACACACAAGCACACACACACACACACGCACTCTCTCTCTCTCTCTCGCTCTCTCAGCGATGACAACGATAACAAAGATCACAACGAGAACGATCGAACACAACAATAATGAAAAACGATGATCGTTGTCCTTGTTATCGTTTTCGTTACCGTTATCGTTTTTATCGTTTTCTCTCTCTCTCTCTCTCTCTTTCTCTCTCTGCATGCACAGGGAGGAACACGTCTTAACTGCCGCGGCGCAATGGCGAGGCGGGAGGCCCCGCAGGACACCCGCGAGGGCGAAAACAGACTCAACAAGCTGTTCGCCTTCGTTTGCATCAGATCGCGTGCAATCTTAAGTCGGGCCTGTCCCCCTACCCGGGGATTATTTTCGACGAAAAATATACATATACACCAAGAATAGTCAACAAATAGTCCAAACATAGCCTGGGGACTATTTTTGGAGTTTTTTTTGTTCCTTCTTGGAGCATTTTTAAATTTTCGTCGAACATCCCCCTGTAGGGGGGCACGCCCGACATAAGTGTAATCTGAGCTGTCTGGAACACGTGAGCACTGCAGGGGCAAGAAAGGAGTGAGGATGCCCCACGCCGCGACGACCACGTGAAAGCCGCGACCAGCCACAGAGGAGGCACCGGCAGAGAGCACGCCGCAGTGGCAGAGCTGGCCACGCACGGAGGCCGCAGCCGGAGGGCCCCGGAGTGGGAGTGCGGCACCCGGCGCTGCATCTGCCGCAGGACTGCAGGGCATAAAAAAGGGTGCACAAAACAGCACCGTGCCGCTCGACGTGCCGCTGCTCCGCGGGCCGTCGCGCCCCCTCCTCCTCCTCCTCCTCCTCCTCCTCCTCCTCCTCACTCCTCCCATCCTCCCCCTCCTCCTCCTCTCCCCTCCTCCTCCTCCTCCTCCTCCTCCTCCTCCTCCTCCTCCTCCTCCTCCTCCTCCTCCTCCTCCTCCTCGTGCACCCTTCCGCCAGGGCGCCGGCACGCGTGCGCGCACACGCACGTGCGCACGCGCTCGAGAGGTGCCCGGAGCGCCTCGGCTGCCGCCCGGGCACCAGGCGTCTGCGCACGTCTCGTCTGCTGCCACGGTGCAGTTTGGCCCGGCTGCTTTCCCACCTCTCTTCCGGCGTCTCGTCCTCGCACAGACCACGGATACACGTGGGGTCAAAGTAGTCGGCTGTCGGCAGCGCGGGCTCTGATTGTTGCGAGTGCTCTTTCCCGCGGCGGTTGATGTTCGAGGTGATGATGGTGATGATGGTGATGATGATGATGCTGATGATGAGGCTCAAACATGCAATGTACAGTCTCATGTTTTGTATTTGTCGTGGCAGGAGCGCGTAAACTAACAACGGCCGCGGAGTACGCGAGGCGCACAGCGGGGCAGGCCCCTGCGTGCGCCACGCCCCCCCTCCCAGGGTGCGAAAGCCAGCGCCCCGCTCGAGATACCTTCGCAGCAGGCTCCGAGAGCAGAGGAGTCGGGGGCGCCGAAGAACAGCATGCACTGCGATTGCATACGGGCTGTTTGCGAGTGCGCTTCCGTCCGTGTGGACGATGAGGCGTCAGGCCAGCGGCCCGTCTACTGACGCTACGAGCTCTGACGAGCTCGACAGATTGCCTCAGAAAGGCGCCGAAAAAGCAGACCGCATGAGACATCCCCGCAAGCAGGCCGCGAGCGGGTGAGCGTCCTATCCCCTGGCGGCCTCCCCGTCGGGGTGCTGAGGCCAGCGCATCGCTCGAGACGTCTTCACACCATGTTCTTGAAGAAGATGAGTCCCAGAGCGAGTGCGTCACAAGTCTGGGCGCGAGTAGTTCTGAGTGCGAGAGTGTCCGAGTATGAAAACCCTGAGTCTGAGTAGATCTCAGTGTGAGTTTGAGTGTGGGTAAGTCTCAGAGCGATTGAGTACGAGTCTGAATGCAAATGAATATGAGTATGAGTAAGGAGAAGGAAGAGGGAGAGTGAGTGAGTCTGAGTGTGAGTCTGTCTGCGAGTGAGTGCTGATTGTTTGAGTCTGAGTGCGAATGAGCCTGAGTGCTGATCAGCAAGTCTGGGTATGAGTCGCGGGGCCAGTGAAGGTGTGGAGTCCGAGTCATTTGACTTGCCTTTTTACCGGGTGTGAGCTTTTTCCTCGCTCCAGGGTGTCGGGTGTGAATGTGCGTGCTTTACCACCCACGCCTCGGGGCTGCGCCCATCTCGTGATATATGTTTTTGTTTCCACGACTGAAGGCGTCTAAGGTTGCGCGTGGGAGGACAAGGAGGAGGAGGAGGAGCAGGTGGAGGAAGACGACGACGACGACGGCAGCGACGGCGACGGCGACGGCGACGACGCGGGCACCGCAGGCGCACGAGGCCCAATGGAGAGGCCAGGGGAGGGGGTTGGGCTCCAGCAGCCCAGGGGGCGCCTGGAAGGCGGTGCTCTCCTCGTGGGGGGGGGGCGCGCGGGAGCGATGGAAGGCTGCGCCACGCACGGCTGTGGCCAAGGCTGCGTCGAGTTGTGCGCGGGAGCCATGGAGGCGTGCGCGTTTGGCCTGCGCGGCCAGTGACGTCCTCCTCTCGGCGCGCACGCGATGGTCGTGGCCCGGGGCATGTGGAATCCGATCCGCCTCAGGCAGCGGAGCACTCTAGCCCATCGGCGATGCGGCTCCCTGTGGAGCCCGATGTTCTCCGCGCCGACTTCGCCGATGCATCGCCGACGGCGCCGGGGCGATGCTCCGACCCCCATCCACCCCGACCACATTCCAGGAGGCCTCTAATGTATCAGGAGGGAAAAAACACACAGACACAATTAATCGTCGATCCCCAGGAAAATATGGGAAAATATGGGAAGTGGGGGGGAAGACAGAAACCCAGAAAATATGGGAAAATATGGGGAATCCTTTTATTTGTGTGTATTTATTTGTGTGTCCTGGGGCCCCTTCATCATAGCGAGCACGTCAGTGCGCGTGTCGCGCGCGTTGCCCTGCTCGGGTGCGGAGGGCCGCGCAGCTTGCTGTGCGTGTTTGGTTGTGGGCGCGGCGCCCCTGCCCGCGGGGCCACCCTCGGCCTCCTCCCCCCGCGAGGTTGAGGGCGGGATCCAGCAGTGTCTCCTTTGTCGAGGCGAGGGGTGAGGGCGGCAGCCCGGTTGCAGATTCCGTGCGCGGTCGAGGTGCCACCCTGCACGCCCAGGGGCCGGGAGGGAGCGCCCCCGTCTCGCACGAAGGGGTGCCCGTGGCGCACCCACATCACCTCCTCTTCTTCGATCTCTCCTTCGCCACGGCGACGGGCTCGCGCTTGCACCGCAGTGGAAGTGCACTGCGCGCTGCGCGCCTCCATGCCGCGTTAGTATGACTGTACGCCGATGGGTTGCAGTCGGTGCTTATCAAGATTCGCAGCACGGACGCTCTCAGCATGAGTTCACCACACAGCGTCCGAGCCAGACCGCTCCTGAGGCCTCAGGGGAGCCGCGCATAGGCGACCCTTGAGCGGGAGCGATCTGGCGAGTGCAGGATGAAAACAGGTGAGACATGACACGCGAGCACACGCTCAATCCTCCG